CTCGGCTGCCCATTACGGCTGGGTCCTGGGAGAGAGTCGGTGCGGCTAACGTGCTCTCGGTTGTACCCACTCTCCCACAAAGCCATTCATCTATGTTGGAAATTTGTGGATAGCTCTGCGGTTTGAGCCGAGACCTTTTGTTAAAGAAAGAAAGAAGTGACCAGAGGATGAAATACAACCTTAAAGTCCCTCAAATTAAATCGCTGTAGTGTAATATTTAAAGTAGTGCAAGAAACTTTGTTTCTTTTATTAAGTAAGAGAGAAAGGTGTCGAACACTGTGAAGGAGGAAACGCTTTAAAACTCCTTGAAATCGCTCAGACTGGGTGACACCGCGGCAGGCAGCTCCCCTATTCTTTTTTAACTTTAATGCGTGCTGCACTTACGGCACAGTCTGAGCACTGACGTGCTCTTATCTTTAAAGTCAAACGAAGTCTTTCGCCGCGCCACTCGGGTCGTTTGCCATGCATTTATATATAAGTTGCGTTCAATTATCATCTGGCACGGAGATAAATTTAGACGCTGGTCTCCACACTGATTGTACGTGTAAAGGTCAGTTTAGTCATAAGAGGAAGTGCTTGACTTATGAAAACAGTCGTATAATGTCCGCTCTGACAGCAGAACCCTGATAATGTCAGATGATGAGGGGAGGTCTAAGGAAAATGGGCCCTGGAGTTTTACTGATTGGGATTTGTTTTAAATAGAAAGCCACATCTTTCCTCATGTCATGGCCCAATAAGGAGGGAGATAATAAAAATAATAATATACAGACTTTACAGTTCATTTTCTGTTCCCATCCATATTCTAATTTTTAATAGATTAAAATATCTATTAAAAATTAGGATATGTTGAATATTTGTTGCTACAATAAATTAACCTACTGTGAATTCTACCCTTTTGTACCTCATTGCACTTAAACATTATTTGCTTTGTCCTTCAGTTTCAGAATTTAGATTTTTGAGCCTAGCATGGGTGGGTTATTAGCCCTGACACTGTGACGTAGATGGAGACAGGACTTTTGAAAATGTTTGCTTACTAAACACATTCTGCTGCTTCAGATTTTAATTACAGATGGCTTGATCCGATACTCAGGATCAGTATCGGTCCGTTGTTGGTCCAAATTTCAGGATCAAACATCGAAAAGGCAACAGTCAGTCCGATACCTTAGCCCAACGTTCAACTTAGATTTGTGCGACATGCCGTTAACAAGGACACTCTCGTCTCAGCTTGCGGCATCCTGGAGGAGTTGCAGTATTGGTATCGTTATCAGACAATTGTATTGCCTTGTATTGCCAGGGAACTGGGAGAAAATTAAGACACGGAAACGTCAACAAAACTGGTTCATTATTTTTTACCTAGCTTAATCATGTCATTGATAAATGACTGATAAATTGAAAAAATTCTCCTCGAATATATGCTTTGAAACTGGTGCTTTGAAACTGAAAAGACCTTTGTTTAGACGTCTTTGTGTAGACTGTAGAGACAAAGACATTTTTACACATTTCAAACTGAGAGACGTTGTTTTTTAAATTATTCATACAATTGTTTTAATATGGAGGACATATGCATATTTGGCGTGTGAATCCTTAAGCGTTATGGACAAGTGCATGTCACTACTGTCCATCCAAGGTCTCGGCTGATTGCTGATTACCTTGCGCTGACATTTCAGCAACGGTTGCAGGACGGCAATCTCTCCCACTTGGACGTGCAGCACATCACGGCGGTTGAGTGGCTGTTTACAACAGCCTGGCGTTAATTGCTCATCAAATTATTGGCTTAATGATAAGACATGCGAGATTGAAAGGGACATATGGATTCAGAAAGCGGCCATCAGAGGCTGGCAAACACACCGCGGGTTTTTCCATCCATACTGTCTATTAGCTTTACAAGCTGAGGCCTTTTTAGCAATAATCATCAAAAGAAATGTAGAAGATAAGAAAAGAGAAAAGAAAAAAAAAAAGATCAGCCCTGGGCATTATTTTCCCTTCAGCCTTCAAAAGTGACAGGCCTATTATGCAGTGCATGGAATTTATGAGATGATCATCTTTGATGGCCTGGATGTCTGTCGTTTGCTGTAATGTTTTCTATGGTAATGATGCTTCCCCTCTGCCTGGGACCACAAAGCCGCCATCCGCCGTGCGACTGCTTCCCTTGATTGTTGACGGCTCCATTAAAGAGTGAGGGAAAAAAAAATATTCCCCCCGCCCCCCCGACTGACCACTCAGAGGCTTAATATTCACCCATCAGCGAGGCTGATTTATGTCATCTTCCCTGACGCTGGGATCCATCAGGTTTGAACTCGACGCTTTAAAGTGAGAAGGTGGCGATTTGAGAACGACCTTGGTACAACTTCTGCGCGCCGTTTGCTAAGCCGCGGCCTGGAACCGTAAACACAGACTGTGGGCCATGACGACGGTCCCTTAACCAGGCCGTACGGTACGTCTGACATCCATCATCGGTGTAAACCCATCTCATCTGTCCAATCAAAAAGCTGTCATGTTGTGCATTAGATTCAGACTTGATGCGTCAGATGCACACAGTATACCTTTGAATTGATTTATTTAAGCGTGTGCGCTCACATCACTCATCGTTGGCTCCCTGTGAAGTCAGGGCAGTAGTCAAGTCAAGGCTCCACGTTAGCAGCGTGAAGACCTCCCGTGAAGACAGCGCCGGATGAACAACACACTGGGGACCCACGTCAAAAACCTAACCCTTTAGATCTCGAGGAATCTTGAAACAGCCACCAGTTTCAAAGCATATAGCAGTGTATGGTAGCTTTTTGATGCTACCACGCTAACTAGTCGCCATTAATGGCATGTTAGTGAGTGTCAGAGAGTTACGGTTCCCAAATTGTTGCCCCTTTGACACAACAAAAAAAGTATCAATTTGACCTGCTGCGTCCCCCCCATGCAATTACTCCACATACCCAAAAGAGACCCCGCCCCACACTTTGGGAACCTGTGGTATATGCTTTTTTGTTTAGGTTTTGTTTTAGGAATAAACAAATGGAGATACCTGCAAATATCCAGAAAAAAAAATTAAATTAAAATAAACCTCATCTGTGAGTCAAACCAATATCCAGAAAAAAAAATTAAATTAAACCTCATCTGTGAGTCAAACTGTTTGAGTTTTAACGTCACTCTCAGTGACCCCCGGGGGCCAGAGTGGTCACAGTCACAGTGTAACAATGTATCTCTTTGAAACTCAACACTTTTTTCAGGAACTCAAATATAAAAATTTTTGTCAGTAAAATAAACAACTCCCATTTCCTGGCAAACGGCTGATAAAGATTTAGTCATTTTATGCTTGAAGAAATCACAAACACCATAATTACACCAGATGCCGAACAACAACAAGCCTGACGATATACAACGTCCTCCGCGTTACTCCATTGTCTCTTATGTGAGCCCAGAGGAGCGTTGATCCATAATCTGATGTTAAAACATTCTGAAAAACACAATTCCTAGCATCGTGGTGAGTATTTAGAGGCCATAAAGGACGTCTGGTGACCACACAAGAGTGGGTACCTAAAAATAAAGCCAACCTCACTTTTGTGAGTTTGCCTGTTCCTATTCATTTGTCAAGGCTTTTCATTTTTAACCTCTGGTTTTCCTCTATTTGGCTATATTTATTGCTGCATCCATCTTCTCGGAGGCTGTTAAATCAATGCCTGCTTTATACCTGTATCCTTGGCTCAAGCGTCTTTTTCCTGAGTCTTTCAAGGAACGAGTCTCCGACCAGTATGTGATGGAGTCGCTGTTTTACTAACGGTGCATTTTTACCTCCGTCGCAGCAACTAAATGCCTGAGTTTGGCTGTGAAGACTGGGTCTGGTTTTCTTTGAGTCTGTTGTACTGCAATAAGGGTCGGAGCCAAATACTGACAGTGAGGATGCAAAATGGCTTCTTCACCCTGGCTGAGCACAAGGACGATTGCCTCCTCAGGCTGTGGATCATTCTCGCTGACTCTAATCACCAGCTAATTAATATTTTAAGTGCTGGCTTACAAAAACACGACTGTTGCTAACCTGTGTGCACCCTATTGATCTGGCTTTTAGAGGCAGTTTGAGATTATTTTTAAAACTGAACATAGCCTGTAATACTGAAGCAAGTGAAAGATAAATGTATTATATTGGCCACTGAGCAGCAACCTGGACAGGATGTCATTTTGTGTCATAACCACAATTGTAGGATTTGACTGGGTCAGTAATGTTGGTGCTCTTTTATAACCATTGTCACGCCTTATAATTTGTACTAAACTACTTATGTTGATGAACAAGGAAAATCAAATTTAAAATCAGTGCAATCAGTCCAAACTATAGGACAAATGGCGAAAAAATGTCCTTGTGCGCCTTCTATTACCGATCTGTCAAATTTAAAATCAGTGCAATCAGTCCAGACTATAGGACAAATGGCCCCTGAGGAGGGTTCTGCCCCCCATTTTGAGAACCACTGGATTACAGTTAGATCTGATGACTTCCTCCATCGTACCTACTTTTTGGCATCGCAGTAAAGGAGTGTATTTGAATGAGAAGAAGGCCCAGTGACCCAGCATCTGCCCGTCTTCAGCTGTTTACCCTGGTTAAAGACGAAGGCCATCCCTGTGGAAATCAGATACACCCGGGAGACGATATCTGTCCATCACAGGACAAGCAAACGGAGACAAACAACAACAACTATTACATTTACAAAGGTTATCTTTAACCTTTGTGTTTCTTTAGTTTGTGGGAACAAGTTTGTTCAACGAGAGGGGAAGCTGGGGAACAAAGAGAGATCACGCTTTTTTTTTTTTTTACCTTATCTATTCTCAAAAAACAGTATCTAACTAATGTTGTTGTTCCAATTAGCACACAACAATTAGCCGAACTAAATCTGTAAAAAACGTAACCAAGCGTCAGTTTTGATTTATCCTGATCTGATCAGTGACATCTGTGTTCATCCTGTCATACTGTATTATATTTAGCTGTTAAACAAATTCAGGTCATGTTTTTTAATTTTTTTTTATCTCATTTACTCACTGATTCCAGGCTCTGGTTTATTCAAGCTGAGATCAATCTACTTCTGAGCTTAAACAATCATCACATCACATAAATCGGTGCCTCTAGCTACACACTCGACATGTTCGTATTTTCATCATCAGTCTAATTGATTCTACTCCCCCCCTCCTTTTTTTAAAACTGCATTAATAAATGAGATTACTGGGTGTGTTGAAGACGGGCTGCAGCCAAAGAGCAAAAAAACAGTCTCGATAAAATCATCTTCCTGAAGACGCGTGCGTTTACAGCTCACTGAGAGGCCACGGAATCAGGCGTGATGCAAAGGCAGTAAATTGAATCAATTCGCTCGCCTCTAAATAGACGTGATGCACGACGCCTGGATGATCAGAGGGATGAGGAGGAATTTTTCCTGTTTAATGATGTTGTTTTGTTTGTGCATTTCTTCTCCTCTGCCTGATAAAGGTTCCAGAAGATCTGGCGTAAAGAGGAAGAGAGACATCAGATAACGCGGCGGCGAGGAGCGAAGTGTCACATGACCTCCTGGGTGCAAACACCGGGGATGAAGTGACAGGCAGTGGTTGACTAGAGGTGAGTGGAGCATATTAAATAGACAAAGTAGCCATGTGGAAAATGGCAAGGGCCATGAAGACACAAAAGCTTGACAGTGTTTGTAAATGCGCACCAGATGTTGAGGCACATCTTTTTCTGGGTTTGGAATTAAAAAACAAAAAAATATTAGTGCACGTAATAAGAAATACAAATGAAAACTTGAATCTGGATTTAAGATGCAAATAAGGACCAACGATCTAGGTTAAAAAACTAACTTTAAAAAATTGGTTCCATAGATAGTCATTGCGTTGAAGACATTTTTCATTGTCCTCAAATAAATATAATAAAAAAGTGAATTATGTTTTTATGACATGATATTTTTTTAGATGTAGTTGTTTGGTGTACCCTTGAAATTTTTTTTTTTTTTTTTCAAATCAGTGTGATTGTCATGTGTTTCCATCATGTCATTGTCGTTGCATGTGTCGTGTTGAAACACTTTCCCACATTAATTCTCTGTTTTGTTGTCGGCGGTTGCTGCTGTCTTTGTGCGACATGTTGCGGTTATTTCACATCCTTTTGTGCAGGTTTGCACATATTTATCAGATTCTTTCTTTTTTTTTGTCTTTCTTCCCACTATCGTCCTTGACTAACCTTGGCCGTCCCCGCGGCGCTTTCCATTCAAGTACATTGTGCTCATGCCCGGGATCTATCTCATATGCATAAATGTTGGCCAGATAGTCTTGATGTTTCTCAGGGACAAGCCTGTCATCGCCGCTGACATATTGATCAACAGTGGCCTTCCTTTTGTGCACACGGTCGGCAACACTTAATGATCAACGTGGAACACAAAGCTTCCAGCGGAGCGGACACATTGACAGCGTGTGATTAAATCAGCAGCAGTGGCAGCATTGTTGACAACAATGATGATAACACTGAGGGCGCTTATCTGAGGGAAGGACGACTGAGGCGGGACACTGCGACGCACGCTCCGACTTGGACGTTCATAGATGTTGATGGGGCAAAAATAAGTTCGTCGTCAAACCAAACCGAGTGGTCGGCCATAAAGAACACTGCGCGGCTTATGGATAATTGTTTCTAGGAATCATATTCCACCTGTCAGTCAGAAGTGCTCTGCATTAGCTGTAATACATCTGAATTAAGAGGCTGGTGGCGCTCTATCCCATCCCCCTCCCCCCCCCCCTCGCCGTAAGCCGTTAAATACATAAATCGGGCTTAAATGAACACACACACCACTTGTCCTGCCTGGTTTGCAGGGTAATTCATCTTCCAACTCCATGATTCTGTTATGCAGTCAAATTGACAAGTAATCCATTGCTGGTGTCCTTGTTGTCAACATTAAGGTCATTTCTGATTGTTGCATTGAATGAACAGACTTTGTAACACCTTGCCGGGGAGCTGGGGGTTGGAGGGGGGGTGAGAGCAGAAGAAGTGGTACAGTGACCTGCACAAGTAGTTCCGTGGTTTGTGCTTCTCTCCGATTTAGAACAAACTCAAACCTAAAATGGCTGCAAATGGTCAGACACTGTTCAGTTTAGATGAAATCCTCTGGTTATTTACCAAGGTGTAACTTATTGTTGGTCAACTCGTGGACCTTGAGTCAACAATGAGTCATTCACTGAAGTGATGTGGTTGACTTAAGTCCCATGAGTCAGTGATGGTGGGCACACTGCGAAAAAAAATTTCATGAAAGTCAAACAGCCTTGAAAACAATTCTCGAACAAACAAAGAATTTTCTTTTTTTTTTTGTACATCACATTCTTAGTCTGGCATCATTTGTTGTTGCTGTTCATGTTTCTCGAATCAACATCCGCTGTTAAATATTTGAATACAGGAAAATATACGGTAAAACCTGCTTCAGTCTTTCAAATGTTGACCTTTCACCTCGACAAAGACTCAGAGCTAGTGCTGGGATACTTGAACAACAACAGAGACGAGCAACTCTAACGAGGCGACGCGCTCCGTGTAAGTGAGTGATTTCAAGCTGCAGCGTCACCTGCTGAGACTCACAAAATAATTGAAAGCAACTCCGTTGTCACCTTCACTCCAAAAAAAAAAATCTTCCTCAGAAGTCAGACGAGTCACGTTGCATCTCCCGGCTTCTTAAAAAATTTGTTTGTCAGAGACGACAAAAGTCGACGACCCGCCGCAACTCTGTTGTTCTCGCGATTTAAATAGATCACACCTCGTTATCCCCGGTACGATTCTTACAAAAGGAGACGAGGAAACAGAAGAGCAAACCTGACGCTGGGGTTTGTTTAGGCTGCTTCCAGAGAGTTCAGCGTACAGTCTTGGATTGTTGGGTCATTGTTCTGCCTGAACGTTAAAAAAAAAAAGATGAATGCACAACATATGTGAGGAGCACTGGCTGCTGTAGGAGCTCAGCAGCTCCCAGCAGCACAACCTATTTACGTAGAGCTGTGGCGGCCATCTGTGCGAGCACAAGGCTTCTGTGTTTGAACAGGCTGCGTATGGACTTGTCATCAGGCTCACAGTAGACCTACACTAAACACTAAACAGTCCCACATCTTGTTCTGTCCGTTTTCTACTGGAAGCTAAGAATTAGTAACTGGTAAATCAGTAACAGCAAATGAGAAATGTACTGGATGTCAAAATAAGAATTATTTATTTATTTTTTTTAATATTTGACACAACACACTGATTTTTTTTGTGCTTGTCTACAGAAAGGTTAAAGGTTGCGTAGCTCAGACCGAAGCTCTATATGAATAATTTTCCCTTATTTAATTTCATGATTGGGGTAGAATTCAATTCTAACATCTTGTACAATTCTTCATTACTGCGAGAACTGTACTCATACAGTACATTTCAGTAGGAAAGAAAACACCCGCTGGGTTCATGTTGTCAGGATATCCAGATAATGTAGACTTTTTATGATCAGACAACATAGGTACAGTTTAACCTTTGACAATTTTTCGATGATTAGCTGACTTACCTGGTACATTTCAGTAGGAAAGAAAACACCCACCGAGTCTTACCCAGAAGTGATGTCACTGTGACAGGTCATTATCAACTGTTTTTACACCTGGATTTTCAGGGTTTTTTTTTCAGGGAAAGCTAAGCTAGCAGTCACCTACAAACACCTCAAAGTATATTAAAAAAACAATTCATATTTAATGAAATATAATTTGACAAAACATCACTAACATAATTTCATCAAGTGGGCCAGATTGAACCCCCTAGCGTGCCAGTTTTGGTCCGCCAGCCGTTTGTTGACACCCCAGGTCTAGAATCTTAAAAATAAAAAAAAATCTTAAAATATGGCATTTGAAATTGTGATTGATTAATTTTATCTGAAATACCTGGGTTTTCTTGAGGTAACCCTGATGTTGTGAAGTAGGAGATGAAAAAAATAAACATCATTGCTGAAATACTGAATCAACAGCAACTTAAAATAAACCTCCTTTCAGGATTCAAGTTCTCTTCTTTCCTGAAGTTCCTTTATATCCTTCCTTTAACTTCATTCAAAGATCAGCTCCAAATCCACCCCTAAAATATTTATTATTTGGCCTTTAAAAAAAAAAAAAAAAGGGGAAAACATTTGCTGTGCCATTATCATCCATCTGCCTTCACGATCGCTCGCTGCTTTTTCCTACGTGCGTTTTCTTTTAACTCACAGCTTGTAATAACTGTCATCTGCCACGCCAATGAGCCGTGCCGCAAAAACCCTCTTTTTATTTATCTGGGCTAATCTTAGATGTGACGAGGCAAAAGGAGAGAGTGAGGAAGTGGAAGCCCCCCCCACCCACTCCCCCCTCCACATTTAGAATCCACAGCCAGTGGGGTGTGTGTGTATGCTCATGTAAATCCCTTCCTACTTTTAGGGTTTACTGTAAAGATGAAAACACGTTTGCTAACATGTCGCTCCGGCTCCGACCGTCTCTGCTGACGTTTGACATCTGTGGCATCAGACGAGAAAAAAAAAAAAAAAAAAACTTTGGGTAATGGAGGAATCTTAAATGCTTGGTGCGACACTGGGTTTTTTCTTCCTCCCTGTTCTTCAGATGTATTGTACTGTTGTGTCCTTGCTACATGCTGGCTACATAATTAGCAACATATCGTGGTCATGCTACAGTGAGCATAGCAAATTCAATACTTAATGAAGTGAGTTCGACACCTGCTGCTACTGTATAGACCAGGGCTGGGCAAACTTTGTGGCAGGTCGGTTCAGTATTGTTTGGATGTAGAATGCTGGGCCAAATAATTTAACTAAAATAATTTGGCACATTTGATGTCTGTGCCCTCTAGTGGCATCAGCAGAAATGACAGTGGATTTGTTGAAATGTATGAAACAGAAGGCTTGACATCAGTCTTTACCATATACCTGTACCAGTGTTTGGTGGGCCGAATGAGAAAACCTAGTGGGCCGTATCTGGCCCACGGGCCATAGTTTGCGATTTTTTTCTCATACATGAAACAGAAGGCTTGACAGCAGTCTTTACCATATCTAGCAGGCCATTTGTGGCCCACGGGCCATAGTTTGGCCATCTCTGATATAGGCACACACACATCTGTATTATAATACAGTGAGAGGAAGTGAAATGTAAATGTGACCATAGAACCTTAGATACTTTCCCATTACCACTTGTTATATTTTCAGGCCAAATTCATTTGAACATAAACAGAGACGTCTGATCTGAAGGCCACAGATTTAATGATGTAACATTTAGAGGCCGACACCTCCTACAGAGCGACTGTACTTAAACTGTGAACTGAATTATAACAAATGTGTTCAGTGCAAACATTTAAAATAGAGCTCTTTATTTAAACAGGTGGGATGAATAAGTGCGAAACCATCGGTAAAAGACGTAAAAGAAGTCGTGACAAAAAGGATCTCAACTTATTGTGAACATTTAATTTAATTAAATTAAAAGGTTTCACTTCAACCTTGTAAAATTAAAGGATTAGTAGATAAAAAAAAGTTAGAGCAAGCTGGAAAAAACCCTTAAAGTTAAAAAAAAAGTATGTGCTTGGAGAAAAATAAAATCCTTGAAATTAACTGA